CCAAGTAACTTCGAACTCATCTTCTGAATCACACTTGCTCATGCATTTATAAAATAGATTGTTAACGCTCTTGTACGTCACACCGCAATGAACTTTCGACGAGAATTTCTTATAGATATGCCATTGGAATAATCTATGTCTTGTGAATGGAAGACAATCTGCAATAGCTCTTGCCATCGCTTGATCTTGATTTGTAAATATTGTAATTGGATGCTTATCATCCATTATACGAATGAAGGTTTTGAATAACCACTTGAACGATTCTATCGTCTCGTCAGATAAAAAACCAACTCCGAATAGAACGTTTTGCCGATGGTGGTTAATCCTATCGAAAGGAGCACAACATAAATTATACTTATTCAAACGGTAGCTAGTGCGAAAATAATGACATCTCCAAAACAATCATAATCTAATTTGCAAGACCCATCACTCAAGAAAAATCTTGTAAGTCTGCCCTCGTCATCACTTTGGAAATCCCATGCAAACATGTTATCTTCATTTTGGCGCTCCATGAATAATTGTAAGAGAGAGTTGACATCGCCCTGTTCAATTCTGCTTCTTTTATCCCTTTGAATGAAGTTGTATGCATCTTGTCTAATGCACTCCAAGTTTTCAACACCACCAACCTCTGTAGCATGGAAATTGAATGCATCAGCTGCTCTAATCCCAGAACCTGTCATTGATCTTAGTAAATTTGCATTTAACTCTCTAATCTTCCGACTGGAACATAGAAGGTGCTTGTCACCGGATTCCGCCAAGGGGTGATTATGACTTTCAACAAATTTCTCTATGGTCCAGTTGCCATCAAGATCAATAGCATAGCGAACCATTGCTTGACAGCCAGTCCGTGTATCCGTTTTTCTGTACTTCACAGTAGTGGCTAGCTGAGATTCTCTTTTATGACCTGATTTTCCACAAATATAATACTTCAACTTAATTTGCTTGGATTTAGCCCAGTAAGTTGTGTGGTCCTTGCGTACACCGAAACCAACGTAATGTGCATAAGCACAATAATGTTTGTAAGCCTCTTCCTCATTACGAACAACAGTATTAAGAAAGCTACGAGCAATTGGATCATTGCAATCTGTTTCTGCCCTAGATATCTACAAATTTAAAGTATACAATAGAGATAGTCAGATAAATAACCCTAACCACAGGTTATTCTTAGGTTATTGTTGGGTTAGTTTCGGGTTATTGAGTATTTCTTCAATCAACCCGAAAATAAATAACCCTGAACACAGAATAATGATGAAATAACCTAACGACAATCGACGATTCACACAAAATCTCACTTTTTTTAGAGATCTGGTGGTTTGATGCGCAGGTTATTCTTAGGTTATTGTTCGGTTATTCTCGGATTATTGAGTATTTCTTCAATCAATCCGAAAATAAATAACCCTAAACACAGAATATTGATGAAATAACCTAACGAAAATCGAATATTCAAACAAAATCTCACTTTTTTTAGAGATCTGGTGGGTTTATGCGCAAGTTATTCTTAGGTTATTGTTGGGTTATTCTCGGGTTATTGAATATTTCTTTAATCAACCCGAAAATAAATAACCCTAAACCCTAAATAATAATGAAATAACCTAACAACAATCAAAGATTCACACAAAATCTCACTTTTTTTTAGAGATCTGGTGGGTTTATGCGCAGGTTATTCTTAGGTTATTGTTGGGTTAGTTTCGGGTTATTGAGTATTTCTTCAATCAACCCGAAAATAAATAACCCTGAACACAGAATAATGATGAAATAACCTCCATTTCAAAGACGTTGACATTCATTTCGTCATCCATGTGCTCAAACTCTTCATTAAGAGAGAAATCTATCTCCATCATAAATGCAGCGACCAAACCCTAGCTGAGATAAAAAACCCCTTTTTGAAAACTTCTTTTCTGCTGAATAATGCAGAATAGAAGTTTCTGAGGGAATAATACACAAAAAATAGGACATTTAACACGTCGGGTTGGGTCGGGCTTAACGCGAAATTTTTCCTTTTTCATGACGTGTAAATATGGGTCCCGCAAGATCAGATGACGTCTTTTGCTTGGATAGCGGAGGTAGACCTGAGGGAAAAATTCGGCGAACTTGGCACTCAATCCCTCTTCTCCCCTTTGGCGAACCCTATCCGCTCCCTTTCATAGGCGCCGACCTAGCCGTTCCCTTTCATAGGCGCCGACTTAGCCATTCCCTTTCCTAGGAGCCGACCTAACCATTCCCATCGCCGACCTAGCCTGCTCCGCTCTTTCTGCCATTCTGGCCAGTTCGGTTTACCAAAATTAAATTGAAGGGAAAACTCCTCTTCTTGGTTACATAAACCCCTCTCAGGGGAAGATTTTCTATGGTTGAGGCTTTGGCATAAGGGGAGGTTTTGCCGAAATTTTGGGTTGTGTATCTCTTTGCGATTTTGGAGATCTGTAGTTTCATTTGGTGGTTTCTGTTTTATGTTTTGGGCCTTTTGTAATCCTGCTATTCTCTTGGGCAAAATGCTGAGCTGGGTAACTTCTTCCCCCAACTTTTCTCCTCTATTTTCTATTCCCTATAATGCTTCTTTATTTTGAGTTCATATAAAAATGTTGGCTTATAAGAAAAAAATGAAAGAGGAGGTGCTCTTCCTAGCCTCTATTATTTTAATAAGGCGGAGGGTGCACGATATTGAAAAGCTGAACAGATATGCTAGATTTCTGTATAGTTGGTGTTGCAGAAGAGTTGTGCATTTTAGGTTTTGCTATACCTGGTGTTGATGAATATATATATATACACACACACTTGGCGTTGAACAATTTGTTGTTTTGGAGTTCGGTACAGTCGAGGTTGAAGAGGAATTAGATATTTGGGATTCCATTATAAGTTTTGTCCATGAAAAAAGTTATGTTCTGAGCATATCATTCCAATTGTTTTCACAAAAAAAAAAAAAGGTTTATTCTCTTTTGCTAAGGGATATTCACACACACACGCAACTAAATTCTTATGCACTTATATATCTTAATTAGACTCTCATATTTGCATACGCGACACTCGATTTTTATTAGTATCGATACGGGTAGAATGATGAAATAATATTTGGGTTTTAGATACATGAATTCATATGATTTATGTGGTATGCATATAAAACTTGTCTCTCCACATTTATGCCGCTTGGGAAGTGCCTCCATCTTTTTAATGTGAAAGATATATTTTTATGCATGAGATTAAAGCACTGAAATGCTATGTGTACATTAATATGAAAGCTTAGATGTGCAAGTTTTCTCAATTATTTATGTGTTTACATATATGTTGTTTAAATTTTGTATGTATATATGCAGAATTTTTTAGAATCCCTATATACTCACATATGTAAAATGTAAAATGAATGTATGTCCGTTGTTCTTCATTATCCCTTACATGTGTAATATCTGAATTTTGAAGTGGAGGTTTGCTAGTTTTGAAATCTTAACACTTGCACTTATATAACATCTGATTTTTGGATATAAGTTGATAGATTTTTTTTAATTCTCATATGTTATTTTCATTTCTAACACTTAGGTTCAAACATAAAATTTCAGATTTTATATTTACGCATCTATCATTTAATCTTCAATGCTTACATATATGCCACCTTGCGAAGGGCCCCAAGCATGAATGAAAAATGCGTACTTTACTTCACATAGCTGGAATTGTGCATTTTTTTTGTATATGCTACGAAAATTTGTAAATCATAAATGTAAAACAAATTTTGGTGCTAGTTGCGTGAATAAAATTTGAGATTGTTGCCACTTTTGTATACGAAATTTTGAAACTTTCCAACTTGGTTCTTGTCACTTAATATACATGTGTGAAGTGGTAGATTTATGCATCAAGGGGGGTCGGGGCTTACGTTTGAACTTCATTCACAGTTTATTGTTTGGCTTTATGATTAAGCCTGTTCTCAAGATTGGCTGTGTGATAATAATGTTCTGGCTGCATGGTTTTAAACGAATGTAATTACTTGCTTCTCTTTAGAATCTTTCAAATGAAACTTATTGAATGGTGCTTATGCTGAAGACGTTCAAATAAAACTTATGTCATTTATGGCTTTTCTCAAAATAAAGATGTCCTTACATGAGGAAAATTTGTGAAGAACTTAATTTGCATGAGGGCTTTGTGGAATATGCGAGGGTTCCCTTCTTATATGAAAATTGTTTATGAATTATTCTTTATTCATGCGAGGACTTATTTAATTTTTTTTTTTATGATTTATGATGTTTTATATCTATGTGGTGATCCTTTTGAAGCAAACCTGTTTACATGCCCATTCTTTTATTGTTGTTGTTTTTTAAAAAAATGAAAGTTTCATGTTCTGATTAGTGGAAATATAAGGTTTCAATACTTTCATTTTAAAAAGGATTTGAGAGAGTTCTATGTGATGGTTTGAAAAATTTTGTAATACTACAAATGTTTATTGTGCTCCACTTATAAAATTTGGAAAAACTTCAAAAACTTGGTTCTTTCGAAAATATGGAATGCTTGGTGGCTTCGTATTGAGAATCTAAAATATTTATAGTTTTGAAGCTTTGAACGATTGTATTTTCGGGAAACTTTGAAATTGCATTGGTTTTGATTTATGAAAGGTTTTGGAGCTTAGAAAGTTACTGTTTAAAAATTACATACCTTTTGTTTAATTCGTGAAATTTGGAGGCTTTTAGAATTTTTTTTTGGGAAGCATAAAATTGATGTGAAATGGATTCATGAAAAGTTTGAAGAATCACAAACTATTATTTGGGAAAAGTTTGGAATTGATTTATGAAAAAAATTGGATGACGTGAATGCATCATTTGGAGTGTATAAAAGCATTCGTGTTGTGGGGCTATGTATTATTGTGTTGGTTCAGACTGCTTGCTGTTTCAATGCTTGAAATGTCGTTAGGAAAGGATAATTTTTGGGTTAATTTGTTTGTGAATTTGGAGGAAATGAAACCCTTTTAGTTTGATTCGTGGATTGTTGGGCCGCATTTTTGGTACTTTTCATCAATCATTTTAGATGCATTTTTAAGGGCCAATCCACTTTTTACTTCTTCACCATTTCAGGTGAATTTGTCCCTCCTCTCTCTCACCCCATTTTTCTTCTTTTCTTTCTTGTTTCTTGGTTTGATTTAGGTGCTTATGTCCGAAATATAAGCACACATTTATGAACCATCAAATAGGGCTATAAGTTGGACGGTTCATTTTGGGGTAGGGCCTTGATGATAAAAGAATTCGGTGGTAGAGAGGAATAATGTTCCATCCTATGACATCGGGGCCCGACTTAGGGACCCGGTGAAATATAGGATAACAATATTATTCACTGACATTAGACTAGCGGCACACCCTTGCCTTCTTAGGTTGTTGGCATTCCTAGCCCGACGGCGTGATCGACTTGTGAATAATCATACATTATAAAATACAATGACAACAACAAATGCGCTATTTACAAAAGTATTTTGACTAAAAAAATTGATACTACTTTTTCTTATATGCGTGAGACATGCATGCCAAAACATAAATTTTAAGTAATATAGTTCAATTGTCAACTAGTCAATTGCCGATGTTGGGCTAAGTAGTACCTTCTTAAGTTGGTATTGTATGAAACCATTCAAGTTTAATGTCAAACTCTATAAATATGGGTGATCGATGGTTGCCTTCGGAGTTCCTCGAGAATACTTAAATCTGAGCGCACCCGAACTTGAATGTTTATAATCCACTTCGCCTTTTTTTTATTGTTTAACTTGTTATTTTATTCGAGATTTCTCTGTCTTCTCGCAGTTTTCTTCGAGCTTATTTTGTGATTCATTTGAGTTTATTTGATAGGTTATGAAGTGGGAGCCCCCAGGGCAAAATGTTAATTTTGGATTTTAATCCGTTAAATAAATTTAAGGATTAATCAAGGGGTAAATGAACAATATTGATTATAATAAAATCTCTTGGGTGTTTGAAATATGAAGGGCAAAGAGGTAGAAATCAATTTGTCATTCTTTTCATGGTAATAATAATATTATGATTTTGACACTTGTCATAACTTGGAAGTCAATTCAATAGGATGATCCTGAAGTAATGAGTTTAAACTATGAAGATAGTAATTCACTCATTTAAGGCCAACCAATTGGTGATTAGATACTAAGTCTGATATTAACGAGAATTAAAATCCCATTTTAATATTTAATTATTTCCAATTTGCTTTGAAAATTGAAATTGAGAGGGCATAATAGTGACTTAGGTTTGTGCTGACCTCACTTTTGATTGAGGTTTACTTTTCCCTCTTTAGTAACATAGGGTCTAGCCATATGACTTTCTTGTTGACTATTCCGAGAAAACTAAAAAGGAATCCTCACAATTAGAAACTCTAAACTCTTCCTTGCTCAACTTGATGTCCTACATTTTGGTCATAACCTCTAGCACTTAGTAGGTGAGGTCAGTATGAGGGATCTCAAGGAGAGTCTTTATAGGACTGCTTGACCGTAGGGTCGACTCTGGGTGTTGGTCTGGAGCTAGTTCACTCACTTGCACTCACTATCACCATCCCTTGATCTTTTGGGAGACTCATGTAGATGGTCCCTTAGACCCGTTAGCCCTAGGCTAGGGTTTAGCTAATACCAGTACATAGATGACCCAAATGAGGATTTCATTCGTCCATAGCTCATACATGGTGATTGGCACTCCAATTCTACCAAAAATGTTCAATTTGGCCTTATGCCCCTAAATCTATCTAAATTACCTAAATGCCCTTGAAACCCTAAATTTGGTCAAAATCCTCAAATTCGCCCAAAATACCAAAATTATTTAAAAGTCATTTCGAATCATTTGAAAATACTCAAATTACCCAAATCCACCAAAAAATTTCA